CAGCCCGCCTACCGGTGCTGCCTGCTGCCAACGCCTGCTGCCGCCCTCAAGCCTCCTGCTCGTGTTTGCAGGCCTGTGCGTAGCCCCCTGCACCTCCCAGATCTTTCAGAAAACCTTACTGCTCCCATCCGTAGCTCTTCTCAGTCCTGACCCGTACAGTTTAAACACAGTCCACACGAAAAATAACCGTAGAAATGACAAGATCTCAGCCAAACACAACTGCGACAGGCATTTTGTTCTTGCGCTGCATTCCTTTTTTCATTCCTGCCTCCGCTTCTTTGTTTATTTTTATTTCTCTATTTTCCTTCTTTTCCCTTCCACTGTAAAGGACTTCTGGGCAAGAAGGTTTGCACTTTTTTTTTTTTTTCCAAATCTTTCAGGTACCCTCCACACCAAAGCTATTACAAAAATGATACTAGAATCTTCTTGCTCGGGCCATTTGCCAGTTTCACCATTAGTATCTTTAACACCTGAGCTTACAGCTGCCTAAGGGATCTGAGGGATATCTGCGGGCCTGAGTAAGCGCCCCCACCCTATACATCAAGCCAAGCTGCAGTCTTATATTGTCATCAAAACTTCTTGACTCCGCACACCCTGTGGATAAAAGACCACGCTACCATTTATGGGCCTGAGCCTACGTTTTCTGGTAGTGTGGATGGGACAGCGATACACGCCCGCAGGTACCCTCTGCTTTTGCAGTGTCGTGATGCTAATGGTGGCCAAAGACTTTTTCTCTAAAATTGCTCTCGCTAGCCCTGCAGATGCGGTGAGGTTTGTATGCGGACTGAGCTGTAGGAGATCATGGATGCCTTCAGCTGAGCAACAGGTGTCCTTTTTTTTCCAGCAACTTGTGAAGCTGTTAAAGACGGTGATGTAACTTCTGGCTCAGAAAGCCTCCAAACCGTTGATGGCCAGAAGGGGGGAAATCTCACAGGAGGGATCACTGTGTGTTGCCTTGTTCTTTTATGCTTCCCCTGAACAACAAATGCTCTTGGAGAAACGGCGTTAAGCTGCACAGAGCTTTGCTCTCTTCTGTGCTTAGGTATCCGCAGAGCTGGGGCAGGGAGCGTGGCAGCCCTCAGTGTTAGTGCTTGCCCCAGCAAACACCCTTCTTTGGGGATTAAACACGTTAGTTTCTGTTGTTCCCGAGAAGTGAAAAATACTGCAAATTAAATTACAACTGAACGTTATACTGTTCCAATGGCAGTGGAAATCCCTCGCCCGTTTTGCCTGCTGCTCTCAGCTCTCTCCATCCCCCTTCAGGCTCCCTCATCTCTCCAGGAGGAAACGCAGAGATTTTAGTTCTTTGTTTTTACTCTGCCATTTATTTTTTCTGTTTCTCCCTCAGATTTCCACTCCCTTGCTTGGGACACACATACACATTCTCTAAACAGGCACACACATATTTCTATATATACAGTAAGGCACAATCACTCACATCCAGATGGGACATTCTGCTGAGAGAAGAAACAGGTTACAGTGAATAATTGCAGCCTGCCCTGGAATACAAGCTCTAACAAACAGATTAAAATAGATTCAAAGGCAACAATACTCCACAACATGGCTCAAAAGGATGTGGGGGTCATGTTTGCCAAAAAGCCTGTTCTACGGATAAGGGGTAACACTGCTGGCTCTCAACGAACGAGACCTTAGTGCTCTCAAGAGAAAGGCAGGGCACAGAACCATTTCTTTCCTTGTGATTTTAGTGCTGGTGAACAGACATCCCTCAAAACTATGGGTGATGCTTTGTAATACTGCTGTATTTCAGAGCCCAGTCAAGGATGGATGTGGTGTGTAACGTGCCTGTGCCTGTGCCTGTCCACAGCACAGGAACAACACAGGCTTCCTACACTGCTTAGCTACATGTTTGCTAGGAGGGATTTTGTGAAAGATGACAAGGAGTTGGCAAGTTTTGTCTTTGGTCTCTGTAGCTGCATCTATATTGCTAAATAATAGGTGGCTGGCAGCAGGTGTAAGCATTGGCCCTTAACCATCCACACCACGTAACTGTTAGTGGAGTCCTTGGCTCAGTTTTTGACAGTTCTGGTTAGCTGTCTCCAAGGTAATATATATGCTCTAGAGAGGCCTATACCTAAGCAGTGTGGCCCCCTGGCTTTGAGCCAGAGCTGCTTTTTATTCAGTATTACAGATGCAGCCTCAAACACTGCTCTCAGGAAAGCAGTCAGGTAAGAGTCTGTTGTCTGTTGTTTGTCTTCCCCTATGTAACTTACTTCATAGGAGCAACAAATACTCTCTAGACGTAAAAGTTTTTTTGGCTCAGCCACTGCTAGTCCCGTGAATTAACTACTATTCCAAGAGAGGGGGCAAATCAAGTACAATGCCAATTCTAAGTACTTAGCAGGGACTTGCTATCTGTGCTTCAGCAATTTATGTTCAGTCAGGCCGTATGACTTGAAACTCGGCCATCTAAGACGTTTTCATTGACTTGCATAAAATTAATGAGTAAGCCGGGCTGCCTTCTATCACAAATGGCACTAACAGGCCCCATGCTGGAAGTTTCGAAAGAGAATCAAAAGATTGGATAGGGTCTGGAAGTCTGGAAAGACTGGTGGACAAGTGGCCCTTCTAAATCACGACTAGAGCACAGGGCTGAGTGAAGAAAACTTACCCTATTGATCTACACATCTTTTCGGTGGATCAGGTCTGTTGGTTGTTATTTTCCACCAGTACTAAAACCACCCCAAAGTTGAAGCATAAAGAAAAATTGCCCACAATGGGTGGGTGTTACAGACACAGATTATCCAGCTCAACTCCCTACTCCAAACAGATTTTATGCTTTATAATCAATTTTCAAAGAGTTTCTCCCTATTTAGGATTCACATTGTATGCCACATAGCATATGTGGAGAAAATATACTTTTTCCCTGCTGTTAAAACATTATTTAGTTAAATTTGAAAACTCAAAATTTTTCTAAAGAAGCTACTGAAAAGGCACCATACATATAAAAATATATACATACATACACACACACCTATACATGAGTGTGTGTGTGTGTATATATATATGTACACATATAAGTGTGTCCTACACTGGTGAACTTACATCTAAGACCAAAGCAGGGGAGAAGAAAATGACATTTTGGAGCTCAGCAGGACTGAGGAACAGAGGGCCCAGAAGTGGTGGTGGCTGTTGGGCCCAGCCAGGACACCATGTATCAGGTCTCTTAGTCCCTGAATATCCCCTAAGAAAGGTCAGCCAGCATCTCCATATTGAACTCTGAAGCGATTATAAGCCAGTCTCTCACTCTGACTGTAATAGAAGATGACGGTGTGAGAGCAAAGGGCCAGCGACTAGTCACTCAGCTCTGGGATGCTTCTGGACCTTGGAGGATATCTGTATTCTGCTCCTCTCCTGCCACAGACAGTTTTCCAGTAGCTTCCACGTTGATTGGGTTAGATGGCTCCTATTCATGCGTTGTCTCCTCTGTCCTGACTGGTTATGTCCTTTTGAGAAGGGAAAAGTAAAGAAATTATGAAAAATAATCACAGGTTTAAGTAAATACAAGGATGGGGAGTCTGTGACAGACACTGTATTTGAGGGCACTTTGGTAGTTGCCACGCTAGGAGGGAAAGGTGAGCTGCAGCCTGAGCACTGGACTGCTTCCTTCAGTTCCTCCTTGCCAAACCAGGTAGTCATTTGAAGAGGGGACAGGCAGTTGTTGTGGAATGGGATATTTCCTCAAGCATCTGTGGCTAAGTTTTGTATCAGTGGTTAGAGAATAAGTAAGACGCTATAAGGGAATAAGCCCTGGTTTAGGCAGTGGAAATCCTCTTTTATTTTAAGTGGTAGGCATCCATGTTTGCATGGTTCCAGGGCGGACCATGAAACCGGTATATGTGCCAACACTATTTTCGCTAGCAAAGCTAACAAGTGGTTTGTCTCTTTAAATGTCTCTTTAAGTGAATCAACCTGATAGGAGGAATACATATGAGTGTTTTTCCATATATAATACGCATGCATGTGTGCCTATATACTTATATACATATATATGTGTATGTAGGGATGTGTGTAGAGATCAGATATACAGTTTCTGCTGGGGAAGAGTGCTTTTTGTTATAAGTGTTTTCAAAACTGAGCATTTGAGCAGAGTGCCTAGTATCAGAGATTCTCTCCGTTTTCCATTTTATTGAAGCCAGAATCAGCAGTTTCTTCTCTGCTTCTGGCCAGTCCCCTCTCTCTGTAACACCAGCCTGGGGGGCTTTTTGGTTGTTTCATGTGCCCTCCCCTGAAGCCAGTGCTGTCTGAGATTTGATACTCTTGATGAGTGAGGAGCAGCAGAAATGTTGGCATGCTCTGGCATTTTCATTAGTAGGCAAAAACCTCTAGTATTTTAGGAGCCATCATCATGCAGACCTGTCTTACCTGTGCATCACAGTTGCTCTGTGCTCTGGTCCTGTGTAGCTGTTGTTGAAGACTCACTGGCGGTCTCCGAGCCCACTGCTGCCTGCAGTATCTCAGGTGCCAGTAGTGTTTCTTCAGTGTCTGATGTTCCCTGTGTGGCTGTGCTCTCACTGGTCTCCTCCTTCTCAGCTTCTTCCTTCTTCTTGTCACCTTTTTCCTGTTCACAGGCACTGCCTTCCTCCCTTTCTCCCTGCGGACCCTTGCACACCTTCTCTTCCTTATCTCCAGAGGGAGGCTGGGGAGTATTCTCCTCCCCCAAAGTATGACTCACCTCCTCCTCTGTATCCCCTGTGTTATTCTTGCAAGGAGTCATTTCCTCTGCATGTTTTTCCCCTCTTTCTTCATTTTCTGATCTGCTGGATCCTCTCCTTGATGGGGGCTTCTCATCAGACCGTGACTGTTTCTTTAGTGCTTTGCTCTCTGTCTCTGCCTCCTCTGTCTTGCCCTTGGGCCCAAACACCTCATCCCCATCTTCTTTGGCACCATTTTCTGGAGAAGAGATGTTGACCCCTAAATCTTCCCCGTCTCCATGTTCTGACAAAGATCTTCTGAATCTCCTGGAGGGAGGCCTACGCTTTATTGATCCCCGTGTCCGCACCTTGAATACAGGAAAAGCAGACACTGAAGAACTCAGAGACAGCAGTACTGGAAAGCAGGAAAGTACAAAAGAGGAGAATACCATGGGAAACTTGATTGCTATGCTGGTTGCTGCACTTTTCCTGCTCTGCTACGCAGAGGGAGGCAGAAGAGGACTGCTTCATGGGATAAGCGAATCCCTAATATATACCTCCTTCCCTTCTATAAAGCTGGTCTTTGTCCCAGTTGGATCCCAAGTTTGGATCATTGTCCCAATTTAAACTGTGACTCTGTCCAAGTTAGACCTCGTTCATTATGCTTTGGAGTATGGTGGCTCAAGGAGTCTGCATCGAGTTGAGCATGGTAAATGAGGGTTACAGCTCCTCTTTTAAGTGCCATGCAGTCAGGCTCTATGGGATGCCTGGCAAGATGTCATGGTCTGTATGGCTCCGTAAGCTACCCTTCAGCCACCTTTGACATTTGCTGGCACATGGTACCCTCTCCTCACCGTGCTCCCAGCACAGCTATCAGCCATCATCTGCCTGCTGAGTTGAAGCAACCAAGTCCTACCATTTCACCCTTTCAGCCGTTGTGCCGAGAAGGATGCTGGAGTCACTGGACCACAAAGCTCTGTTCACAGGTAGGCAGAAAGGAGACTGCACAGAACTACGCTTACAGGCTGTTTCAAACCTTGTGCTTACCTCTCCTCCCTTGGCTACCCACGCACACCGTTTTGGCAGGAACGAGTGGTAAGGCCTCCTATTCTACCTCATCACCAAGCAATGGGCAAACTTTATCCTGCTGCTTTGGAGAAAGCATACCCTCGCGCATACCCTACCTTGTTATAGAATTGCAGCTGAGTGCCTTCTGGGGGTTGATCAAAGCTGACTGGCGTCTCTTTGGGTTCACTGGGTTGGGACTGGATGCCGGGGCTGCTGGGGGTTGAGGGTGGGGTGCTGAACGGAGAAACCATGACTTTCATACCCGGGCTTTTCGGAGATGCTCCCGGCAACAGGGCAGCTGGAGCAAAAGCCAGATTGGCCTGCAAAGGAAAATACACATCATTAGCGCGTTACGCTGGTGTGTAATACATATATTAGCCACGTGGGGGATCCCTTGGTCTTGCCACGGGGGATAACACACTTCGCAGCTGTCATAACCCCCATAGCTTCTGGTTACGGGTCCCTCCTGGTGATACTGTCAACAAACAAGCCCAAGCAGAGAAGTTATGACTAGACATTTGCCCTTCCTCAACAGCTGGATCTCGAGACATGGTCTTTTGTCATCCTGAGGCCTTTAGGGATTTTCCAGTGACTGAGCCAAGCCACTATCGTCTACAGTGGCTGAGCCAGGAGAGAGCACAAACAAGCAGCCAGCAATCGCTTGGAGCTTTAAACCACCCATTTCTACTCAAACAGACCTCACATTTGCAGGCCTGGCCTGCAGGTGTTTCGAATGATCCGTACGGTCATGAGGAGTGAGAAGACCATGGAAAAAAGCAAGTTTGTGATTAACTGTGGCAAAGCGCTTCCTTATTGACTCCTGCTGGCCCATTATTAAGAAGTTCCCATAGGCAGATATCCTTGGGTGCGTTAACAGGGATGCTGCTATGAATAGGCTTATGTTGTGTCAGGGTGCCCAGGTGGCATTACGCTCAGGAGTCGCACATGCTGCTAGGAGAGGCAGCTGGCAGTAGTAGGACGCTATGTCTGTGGGCTGTCAAGTGCTGAACTGTCCTCACTTGCATGAAATCAGGTGCTGCTGAGAGACAGAGAAAAGGCCCTAGGTATGTTTGTGTTAAGCTTGGGCAGTCGAGCCCAGGAAAGCACAGAGCTTCTAGGCACTGGTAAGGGAGTGTCAGGGCCTGTAGAGCCGCTTCCCCACCATCACCATGATTTTAGCTGTCTGTGCTCAAAGCCAGCTCCCTGATAGGGTGCAAGCGTCTAAACTTTCAGACTGTTGTGAAGAAAGAGCTAAAAGAAGCCTCAGATAACGTTTCTCTTCCCTTCTCTTGGGAGCTGCACTTAAGCTGAGGCTTGTGCCCTTGATCCCCACCCGAGCTGCATCGCTGCCATGCCTGTGCCTGGCCATGTACCCCACAGATCCAAACCCTGACCTTGACCTGCAGACTGGCTTCCTGGCTTGACCTCAGACCTGCCTTTAGACTTGCCTGACCATCACTGCACTATGTCTGACCCCGGTTACCATCCCCAGACCTGCTCTGCCCTTGCTTGTGTTTTGTGGGACTGAGCCCTTGTCTGTGAGCCCGCTGCCCTTCTTGCCTAGCCGTCACCCTCAGCTCCTGGCTCCCCTTCCTTTGTTGCTGCTCCACAAGAGACAGTCATGACAAATACCAATCAGTTTTAATTTGCTGGGGCAACCATGTGGGCCAGGACCTACCTGCAGCTTTTCAATCATGGGGGAGCTTTTCACCTTGACCTTGGGCATGGGGCAAGCATTTGGAGACGGCTTCTGCAAAAAGAAAATGAGGCCACAGTAAAGTAAGTGAGAAAAAGGAAATACGCTGAAGACAGAAAACTTGGAAGTGACAGGATGTACTTGTAGGGGAGTAAATCAAGCCTCGTATAGGATCTTCACACAAAAGTTTGCTCTCTTCTTTCCTGACTCTGCTCCCCTTTTGTGATCTAGCCATCCTAGGGCTCTACAAATATGTATCCTTCTTGAGGGAGAAAAGGTGATTGTCTGCTTTTTGGCTGAATTATCTGAGTTTGGTGATATGTAATGGCTCTGCTGCTATTTGGCCTTCCGTAAGGTGTTCAACCTACAACAAAATTTTCCCTGATGTTATTTGAGGAGTAGACAGATTAAAATTCTACCTCTCAAAGGGTACAAGGCCTTAATGCTGGTAAACATTAGGAACTGTTTGTGATGGGAAAGGCTTTCTACCAGCCCTTGACTAACAGGGTTAATGGGCATCCAATTAATTTGGACAGGAAAAGCCTAAGTGACCGGAAAGACAGAGCTATGAAGGGCTGAAAATGGCTTGAGAAGGGGAGCCAGCTTGTTAAGACCTGCTCATTCAAGGGTGCTGTATGTTGTCCAGGTCAAGACAATATTCTGCAGGTATTGCTGAAGAAAACCTTGGATTAATTATTCCCTTTTTCTGAAGAAGGAAAAATCTCAAGAGTAGAACTATTACACCATTATACTCAAACCTCTAGTGTTCATCTGAAGGCAACAAACAGAAGAGGTGCCCCCTGAGCTAAATGCTGTTCAAATCTAATAAATGCCAGTTCCTGCTTTGAAATACTTAAGAGGAGAGAACTGGAGGGGTCCTTCAGTGCTCTGCTCTGAGGGCAAAAACAACAACAGTGGAAATGGAACGTGTATGCGTGCTGCAGGAGGGGGAAGCAGCATGGAGCTGACTCTGCGAGGAGGCCCTTGTGGGTGAGCAGGGAAAGGTTTGATGCTGCATGACTGATGTCTTATGTTGCACAGCCTGATCACTGTACTGCCTCCAAGTCTATGTCTCAGGAGTCAGAGAGAACAGGCTGCAGCAAAGAGAGACCTTGTGCTTTTATTAAATTGATACTCACTTGCTCATCATTATGGCTTGTCTCGGTCTTGGGGGAATACAGTGGAAGGGAGCATGGTGGTTTCCTCCGGGTTGGCTTATGTGAGGGTTCCTAAGAGAAGAAAACAACCAACTCAGCGGTGGGGAAATCAATTTTTTAAAAAAGGAAGTGAAATTCAAGCACCGAGGAGCGTGCTCTGCTCGGTAAGTGACCTGCTTAGATGGCAGGACCCAGCTTGCCTAAAGGAAACATCCAAAGGCAACATTTAACATTAGCATATGAGCATGTGGCTGGCATGCTAGGTGTGCTTACAGCATCTCTAGCCCAATCCTAGCGTTAGAAAAACAGCCTTCATCCCTTCCCCCAGTATGAACCACAAGACTTCAGGCTCTGGGCAAAGCACTCTCTCCTAAACTGTGGAGGGTAGAGAAGCCTTCTGAGAAGCTTCATCTCCAAAGCATCCTGCTGGAAACCCCCTCACAATGGAACAGCTTGTTATTTTTCTTTTCCCTGTTTTAGTACTAGGATTCCTTTTCAATGAGTCTCAGCTTCCTTCCTGGTTCATGATCTTGCTATTCTACATCCGATATATTTTAGGGAAAAAAAGGGGAATTCTAACTCTTTTAACATTGCCTACAGTCATGCTCGTTATCCTTACAGAGCTCACAGAGAGACAAGGCCTCAGCTGTGATATATAATTTGTCTAAGAAAGAGATTGACCAGAGGAGAAGGAACTTAACTGCAGGGCAGCTTAACTGCAGGGACGTTCATTTTGAATGTTCTCGGGCTCTCAGAAGTACAGAGTTCTCACTGGGAAAGAAGAGATACATAGCACAGCACCTATAGAGTTGTTCCTTCCTACCTATTGCTTTGGTCTTAAAGATTAGGTCTTTTCTACTTTTATGCCATGTTCATTGCCTCCTGCAAAGTTGTTAACACACTTTTTGTGTGTTAACACACAAAATATGTGAATAATAGTGTGGATACTGGATAATATCCACAAGATAATATTTGGATAATTTTATTACCTTCTTACAGGCAGGTATGTGAAAACTTGGATCATGGCACCTTTGCCCCTCTGCAGAGCTGACTCTCTTGGAAGACCAGTAGATCTGATGTCACTTGACTGCTGGTGGAGCTGCATCCAGCCATGGCAATGCTGCCTCTCTAGGCAGCCATGGGCAGCCTTGCCCTTTCCCTTACATCACTCTAGGTAGCAATAGTATCATTTCTTACCGAAACCCCACCATTCTGCAACCAGGTAATGCTGCGTTGCGCCCCGGTGATGTGTTAGAGGTTCCCTGGTTGATAGGTTCCCCTTTGCTGGAGGGGGTCAAGCAAGAGTTAAAGACCATCCAGTCAGCCATTAATCTGAGCCCAAGAGAGTGGGGAAGTGACAGATGGCTTGGATGGAAAAGACAGGAAACTTTGTCCTCCTCAGTCCTTTGAGAAATTGAGTTTTCCCTTATTGTGGGGCCCCTCCACACTGCCTTGGCTTGGGAACAGCAGCCGTCTGTAGATAACACTAGGAGAGGTCTGGGAACTTGCTGCCTTCTTAAGAGTGAGGGACTTAGCGCAATTAAATCCCGTACCTTAAGAAGAGGAAATGACTGTAATGGGACAGATGGAGGCGTGGACCGGTGACTAGAGGAAAAAAAAGTGCTTGGGAAGAGATTGGTTTTTCACATCCCGGTGCCCGCCTGCGACAGTATTAACCTATGATAAATAGCTGCATGCCAGTCCTGCAGGCCAGAGGTCACGCTGCATGAAGCCAAAGTCAAAGACAGGTTGGGTGATGGGGAGGATTCCCTTAGGCCCAGTGGGGACAATGTTGAAATCAGCTGAGCACCAAAAGGAAGCGGTTTAGTTTAAAAGGGGTACTCACTGACTGATGAGGGCTGTCACTAAGCATTTATGCTACTAAAAAGTGTGTAATAAAAGCAGGGAACTGTCCCAGAAAGTCAATCTCCATCCATAAATACTTTGACTTTCCTTACTTCCTAAGAGAGGAATTCAAGTGTTTTGCTTATCTGGTGAAAGACAGCTTGTGAGGTGAATGCTTGGCATAGTACACTTTCAACAGAATAAAGTTTCAGCATGACAGAGATAGGCAGTCTGAAATGCTGGCATTGGAAAGAGGTTACTAGGGCAAGTTAAGAGACAGCTTTCTGTCTCAGCACCGTACAGAAGGAACTACTTCAGGGAAACCTTCTTTTGCAAACAAGGTACCGGTGACCTGCTGCTGAGATGCATGGTGTCTTCTAAACTCAGTAACGTGCTTTTTCCATAGTTCAAGAATTAGCCATTTTATTATTCACTGCTGCCCTCTGCCCCCACAGGCATGTCGCAGATCGCACATGCATTTCTATCCGCTACTGCTAGGGAACACATGTGAATCCTACCAGCTTTTACAGTGCCTCAGTTACAGCGTCTAGTTGTCCTGAAGTATGGCCCTACCGAAATATTCATGCACAAGTCAGCAATGCATGGAAAGATACTGTTATAGCTTGCACTGCACTAGGAGCCAAATCCTTTGGGAAGATTCAAAATCAAGGTGGATTTATGCTTAGATCACCCCAGCTGTAACTTCTCGAGGCAGGGGTGACTGCCTCATTTACCACTTCCTTTACCTACTGGTGGTTGCAGAGCTCCTTACCTCTTTTCCAGTGATACTGGCTGCTTGCTCTTTGAATTTCCCTGCTAGCTCAGCCACTGATGGGGTTGCCGACTTGTCCACCTCTGAATTGGTCTCTGTTGGCCTGTTCTGACAAATCAGGAATAAGATGTTATGAGCAAAAGCTGGAAAAAGCAAGGAGGCTAGAGAGAAGCTTGTGTACGTGTTATAGAGTTCAAGAGTAAGCAAGGACTTAAAGCAGAGTTTCTCATGTCTGGCATCAATCCCCTCATCTGAGAGCAAAAGGTTTGGGAATACAGGACCAAACAGCATTTTCAAATATCCGAAGCTTTTAGTGGACTCTCAGAAAACTAGTAATTCATGCAGAGTCTTTCACCACTCGCTGAAGATCCTATAGCCAGTTTTTTTCACTGGAAACAAACTAAATATTTCAAGCTAAATGTCGGCTCCCCATCTTTTCCTAGCAGTGAGTAGACAGATTTGGGCCAGAAAAACCATTCCCATGCACCTTCTCAACCCTCCCACTCATTACTGCTGTCCTGGTCACAACTGCCCTTCCTTTTCCAGTGATTCTGCTGCATGAAGCCGTTCCCTGTCCTCGCAGCAAGTCAACTTCTGCTTGGAGATATGCTGTGCTGTTCTGCTTTTTGTGGCAGTGAAATATTGGAGGAAATACCAGGGCTGAGAGAAGCTACCCCTCTACCGGGTTGAAAACAGGTCAAGAAGTAGGAAGGTTGTTGGAGACTGGGTGGTGTAGCTCTTCCCATAGCACACAGCTCTGGTTATCCCAAATTTACTTTGTTTTCTTTACTATGAGTATATCAAGCAATATGAATAGAAAGCCTTAAAGTCAAAGTTCATGAAAGAAAACCTGTGTTCTTTATCTCTACTATGTGATGCCAGTGAAAACCAAACCGGAAGAACTATGAATAACAAACCAACAGTCTTTGTTTTGTTACAGGCTGAGACCTCAAAACAACAAAATGGGCTACAAACCATCAGAAAGGAACCTCATACCTCTGATCCCTATACTGTGGCCATTATCGCATGACCAGCACCACATTTCTCATTCCTCTTCCTCAACACACTCTATTTCTCAGCCAGAAAGTTTCACCACAGGCTCTTGCTAGAGGAAGGCATTTCTGTTTCTCCAAGGGCTCCACCAGGGCCCGTCCTTCTCCTTCATGCTGCTCTGCCTGGAAGAAACATGATATCTAGCTAACAGAACCACTCCTTCAGCATTGTTAAAGGTAAAGGGCCTTTAAAACAAGCTGGCCCACATATGCGCGATTTCTTTTGGGCCACCAGGCTACAGGAGCTGAAGAAGTAGCTATAGAAACCTGAAATCGTGTTGAAGAAGCAATTTGTTAGGCACCTACTTTCTAGATTAGAAGTAAAGAGAGGAGATTACACTAAGGATCAGTTAAAGTCGTAGCACAGCTTGGAGCAATTTCTACTCTGAAATATCTGGTATAGAACAATAGGGCTAAGGCCCATTGCTAAGTACCTTTTCCCTTCCTCAGGGAGCTGTAGCTCCCAGTAAATGCTTTCTTCCTTCTCCCAGTCCCACAAGCCCTTTGCAGATGTCTGCTGTTCCCTGGTTCCAGGATCCTGACTACATCTCCCTATCTTTGATCAGCTTTCCTGCATCCAGCCATGAAAGCCATATCAAACTCTCTCTTCTTGGTGAACTGCTAGTACCTCTCCACCGTCTTTTCAGCCTTCATTAGAGTACTTGGAGGTGGGGGAGCAGCAGATAAGGGGAAGGTAAGAAACAGTGAGGTAAGCAGATCAGCAGGGCAACCTGCTGCAGATGAAAAATGACAGCTGGGCTGAGTGGGGAGGGAGAATGATCCCCTGCTGCAGGCTAGCTCAGTGTGGTGAAGGAAGAGCAGGCTGGAAATAGGAGAGAGCAAAGGAGGAACCTGGAGAAGGGAGGATGAGTCGGGATGCCTGGCTCTGGCATACCAGAACACAGACTATCTGGGCATAACAGAAGTGATGTCTGAACTGGGGACTCAGTATGGGCTGAGGAGCTGCAGGTGCTCAGTATCTGAGGAGGAACGGTTGTCTCTCCCATAACTTATTTTTCTCTAGTACTAGAGCTTCTTTCACAGCCCTCTGCCTTAACCCAGAAAAGACAGAGCACTTCCTCTTGGCCTCTTTGACCTCTTGTTTAGTGTTTTTTTTTTTTTTAATTTCATTTTTTTGAGCTACAGTCTGAAAACATAGCTCCCTTTCTCCAGATTTGATCAAAGCTCTGAAGCTGGAATGGTTCCACGCATTTCTTGTCTGCTAGGGGAAGGCCTTGCTGCGCGGCTCTTGTGCGCGTGCAGCTTGCCGCCGGTGCACAGGAAGCCATGGACATGCCATTCTAAGATTAGAACAAGTAGCCCACGGGCTGTGTCCTCCAGAAACTGCCAGCTGCAGGCTCTCCGATTACACTATGTGTTTTGCAACAGGAAAAGTCACTTCTCAGATCCTTTCTGGCAATTGCACTGCAATCCTGTGTCCAACTCTTTCTATGGCTTCTTTTTTTCCCAGCCGCTGTGCCACACTGTATGTGTTCCAGTCAAGCGAATTCACTATGCTGGGGCACTGAGATGCAGAAAGTTCCCTTCCTCCCACTAAAAGGAGAGCACTGTCCCCTTTACTTCCCAGGACAGGACGAGCAGTCACCCTCCTGCTCCAAGAAAGGTGGGAAGCCTCCCTTTCTCTTTCTCACTCTCACTGCAAAGATGTAGCAGCCCTCAGCTTCTTCCACCACTAAGACACATGTCTGCTCCTCTCACTCCAGAACTTCAGTGCTGGATCTCTCCTGTCCTGTGATATGATGCTTTGTCTCCCATTCCTAGTAAGTTTTCCACTCTTGGTGACATAACCCACCACTTTGCAGGACGGTGAAGAGGAGCTCCTCTGCTCTTGTTCAGCAAAAAAGTTAAGATTACTCAGACCCGAATTTTGTGCTCTTTGCAGCCCACTGCAGATTCTTTTGCTTTTCAGAAGAGAAATTGGGCTAGGCCACATGGGCTAAAAATGGAAAGCTAACGTAGAAGTCCTGCTCCACCAGTAACCTGGTGCCCGCTACTCTGAGGTCTTTCACTCTTCCATAAAAATAAGTATCTAAGTTCTGCAGATTCAAAGAAATGTCAGGTAGAGCAGCAAAACAGGTATTAAATTGTACCATGAGTGTAAGCATGATGCTGTCTACAAAAGAGGAAGTACAACTAATGAGTTCTCTGTAAGCCGTTTTATTTTCCTCTTGCAAATAAGTTTATAAAATTGAGCAATTTGAAAATGTTTTTCAACCCTATTTTTCTTCATCCGCTTTTAAAACTGAACCTAGTCCCTTTGATCTGGTACTGTTGGAGAAGAAAGTTCTGCCTTTATTCATTGATTAGGTACAGTCATGGCAATTCAGGCTTCCCACCAAAGCCCATCCTTCCTTTTCCTTTGCAGTCCTTGCCTCTGCTGTACTTCCCACCCATCTCTAATCCTGCAGCAATTGCCTAAAAGGGGGGCATATTGCACAGATACACATCCCTGCCTCTCTCACAGGCTGCCTGGCAGAAACACCATCAGGGTCGCTTGTCCCTGCTGGGTCTGGCAAGGCAGCTGGGAAGCTCTCTGAGCTGAGACGCCCAGATGCAGTGACACAGGTAGCTCTGGCCAGCACAGTCCCAACTTCATTGGCCATTTAATATGCCGGAAGACACTAGAGCTAATAAGACTGACTGATGCGGGAGTAATAAAGTCTTGAAGAGGGCTGAGTGGATCCCTCAGGATAGCAATGTCATAACCTGGCTCAACGACATTTGCCAGTTCTCCTGCTAGAGCCTGCGGAGCCATCGGGGGCACCAGGGCAGAGAAGGTGCATGTTAAATGCCTGTGGCAAAGAGGTCCAGACACTGAAGAGTTTCTCTGTGTATAACGTTTGTGTACTCACACAAAGAACTTTTCTTAAAGATTGTGGATTTAACATACAGGTGGGGAGTATCACCAGAGACAACAAGCTTCTTAGGAAATCAAAACTGCAAAGAATTTAGGGGAAAACTGGAAAGCCAAGGGGGATTTAGGGAATGAATTTGAGTCTCCTGCTGTGACTGGCACAAAACTGGCTCCAACAGCCCTCTGCTAGCAGTTTTGGTCATGACCCACCCCCTTGCAATTAAGAGCTATCATGACTCCACATCCGGGGATTGGTATCCCACCAGTTTTGTTCATCTTCTTGATTGCCCTTAATATGCCTCTGGAAACGCTAGCCTAAAAGGGTAGGAGTCAGAGTCAGAAGCAGATATTGAGAGAGAATCTGAGTTTGGATTGGTTCCTCTGGTTTGGCTGATGAAAAGAGCAAAGGTCTGTTAGCTGCCATACAGCAGAGCGCTTTGGCTTAAGCAGCACTTAAATACCAGCTGAATGACAGCAGAGATTTGCACTGCCCTGCTCTCCCTCCCTCTCCTCTGAATCCTCTGACTTGCCTGTTTTTGCAGTTAGGATACTGTGGCCACAAGGAGCACCTTTTATCTGAGAAGATAGCCCTTTGCAGCTCTTTGCGAGGCTGGGGTATTTAGTGGCTGTGAAGTCAGTAACTATTCCATGACTGTTTATGTTGGTCCTGTTCGCTTTCCATCCTCATTTTCATGCAGCTGTATCTGAACCTGGTTTTGTGGCTAGTTCCTGACCTTCACGTCCTTACCTTGCTTCTAAAGTTCCTCACAGGTTTCCCTGCGGGCACTTCTCACACTGGTCCATAGCGTTGGCCTACCTTCCCGTGCCCTGCACTTGCACGAGCGCTGCAAAGCTCCCCTGCGACTCTCATGACATTTTTCTTTGCCACACATGCAATCTCCCTGAGCAAATGCAAATCTGGCCAAAATAATGAAAAATATACTGTGCCGGCAACAGACACAGTAAGGCATAAGAGGCTCAGGCTAGTCTCTTGCTTACAGAAATAGGATCCTGAAACACTGATCCTCAGATCCCGGGTCTCCATACTGAAAACAAGAGAGGATCAATGCTTTCGGGGCACAGTTTCATAAGATCCTGGTTTTGGCAAAAAGACAGCTTATGTTTCCAACTGCTCATTCTCCCTTGACCTTTCCTTCCCCCCTTTTCCCCTCCTCTTGTGC